ATATATAATAAAGAATTTAACTTGTGGATAACTTAAAATCTCCCATGATTTTTCTCTTATAAATTTTAATCTACGTTAAATTCTAAAATAGGTGTTCATTTCAAATAAGTATAAAATATGAACACATCATAACTTATTAATATAGTTTAGATTCTAAGACGACCAAATATTTTAGTTTCGAATAATTCAAAAATATATTATAAAAAAGGGTTGTTTTGTTTTAATTTTTATATAAAATTATAATTAAAAACAATATATTTTTTTTTCATTTTATAATCCAATAAGATACTCTCTATAAAAATGAATAATTGTTGTTATCAATAGGACTTCTTGGAAAATTGTTATTTGCTATTAGAAATCCTATAAATCTAATGAAAAGGGATTTTTTAATTTCATCAGCATATTTTATTTATATATCAAATATCAATTATAAAATCATATATATATATTCTTGATTTATATCAATAATATGAGATTAAGTGTTTCAACGCCTCAATATCATAAGTTTGGATGTAAATAACGATATCAATATCACTAATTCATTTACAATTAAAAACTCTTAATTTCCTAATACCTAAACTCAAGCTGCAATAAATTAATAATCTATATAAAGGACAACAACAAATTTACTTGAAATTCATTCACAAAAAATTTCATAAGTATTTGTTATTTATTATAATTTATATTAATTATAAATAAATTTTGTGTAATGTTAATAATAAAAGCCCTTATAATTTAAGATTTAGAATCAATAAATACCTCAAATAAAAATCAGAAAGAAAAGTGCTGAATATGTTTTATAAAATAAGACAAAAAAATAATTTATTATATAAATACTGAACGCTTTAAAAATTATTGAATCAAATTAGATAATCCATAAATATTTCAGATAATGTAATTTTGATTTTTAATATTTTTCATTATCAAAATATAAAGATTATAAATTTAAATAACTACATAATACCTTTCTTTTGAACACAATAGATTATCTAAATTCAAAAGAATTTTATAAATTCATACAATATTCTATTATTACTTTCTAATATTAGGATATATTTACTATTTTTTGATTAATAAATTCCTAATATGAACACATTTTTAAATAAATCAAAAAATCCTCACCTAAGCTATATATAATAATTACTTTAAGTTCTTAAATAAAATGTATAAACTAGAAAATAATTCATAAAATTAATCATTTCTTGCATAATTATTTGGAGTATAAAATCGTTATAGGTTAAGTTCTCCTTAAATTCTTAGAAATTAAAATACTTTTAAAAAACATTTGCTTTAATATATTAATGGAATGTTTTTCGTGTGTCAAGTGTTACTATGGAATTCTTCAATTGCCAAAATAGCTTCATGCCAATTTTCCTCTACTTAATGAGTTTTTCATCTGAAATCTTTCCAAATATATGGAGTAATCATACATACGGTATGGCTTGTGATACACATATTTTGATTAATATTTGAAGTAAATTTAATATAAACTAAGAGGATTGTAAAATAATTAACTTAAAATATTTTTTCATCCAGTGCTCATAATACTTTTAGTTGCATTACATTTTTGACAACTTGGAGTGGATATTGTATCAGAATTAATAATTAGTTATTAGATAAACTAAAAATTTAGTTGTTTTATTTCTTTCTTTTTGATTGATCGAAATTCTCGAATGATGGGACTTACCTATAAATTGAAAGCTAATGTATATTTTAATAAACTGTGTATTCTCCTTAAAACGGATGATATTGGAATNAAAGAATTTAACTTGTGGATAACTTAAAATCTCCCATGATTTTTCTCTTATAAATTTTAATCTACGTTAAATTCTAAAATAGGTGTTCATTTCAAATAAGTATAAAATATGAACACATCATAACTTATTAATATAGTTTAGATTCTAAGACGACCAAATATTTTAGTTTCGAATAATTCAAAAATATATTATAAAAAAGGGTTGTTTTGTTTTAATTTTTATATAAAATTATAATTAAAAACAATATATTTTTTTTTCATTTTATAATCCAATAAGATACTCTCTATAAAAATGAATAATTGTTGTTATCAATAGGACTTCTTGGAAAATTGTTATTTGCTATTAGAAATCCTATAAATCTAATGAAAAGGGATTTTTTAATTTCATCAGCATATTTTATTTATATATCAAATATCAATTATAAAATCATATATATATATTCTTGATTTATATCAATAATATGAGATTAAGTGTTTCAACGCCTCAATATCATAAGTTTGGATGTAAATAACGATATCAATATCACTAATTCATTTACAATTAAAAACTCTTAATTTCCTAATACCTAAACTCAAGCTGCAATAAATTAATAATCTATATAAAGGACAACAACAAATTTACTTGAAATTCATTCACAAAAAATTTCATAAGTATTTGTTATTTATTATAATTTATATTAATTATAAATAAATTTTGTGTAATGTTAATAATAAAAGCCCTTATAATTTAAGATTTAGAATCAATAAATACCTCAAATAAAAATCAGAAAGAAAAGTGCTGAATATGTTTTATAAAATAAGACAAAAAAATAATTTATTATATAAATACTGAACGCTTTAAAAATTATTGAATCAAATTAGATAATCCATAAATATTTCAGATAATGTAATTTTGATTTTTAATATTTTTCATTATCAAAATATAAAGATTATAAATTTAAATAACTACATAATACCTTTCTTTTGAACACAATAGATTATCTAAATTCAAAAGAATTTTATAAATTCATACAATATTCTATTATTACTTTCTAATATTAGGATATATTTACTATTTTTTGATTAATAAATTCCTAATATGAACACATTTTTAAATAAATCAAAAAATCCTCACCTAAGCTATATATAATAATTACTTTAAGTTCTTAAATAAAATGTATAAACTAGAAAATAATTCATAAAATTAATCATTTCTTGCATAATTATTTGGAGTATAAAATCGTTATAGGTTAAGTTCTCCTTAAATTCTTAGAAATTAAAATACTTTTAAAAAACATTTGCTTTAATATATTAATGGAATGTTTTTCGTGTGTCAAGTGTTACTATGGAATTCTTCAATTGCCAAAATAGCTTCATGCCAATTTTCCTCTACTTAATGAGTTTTTCATCTGAAATCTTTCCAAATATATGGAGTAATCATACATACGGTATGGCTTGTGATACACATATTTTGATTAATATTTGAAGTAAATTTAATATAAACTAAGAGGATTGTAAAATAATTAACTTAAAATATTTTTTCATCCAGTGCTCATAATACTTTTAGTTGCATTACATTTTTGACAACTTGGAGTGGATATTGTATCAGAATTAATAATTAGTTATTAGATAAACTAAAAATTTAGTTGTTTTATTTCTTTCTTTTTGATTGATCGAAATTCTCGAATGATGGGACTTACCTATAAATTGAAAGCTAATGTATATTTTAATAAACTGTGTATTCTCCTTAAAACGGATGATATTGGAATAAAAATTCATATGACTCATTTAATGGTGAATGCTATACTTTAGATAAACTAAATTTAATTTATGCACTTGACATTTTTATTAAATGTGCTTTTAAGATTGAAATATTTTATTTGATTCTCTTTTCTTTTCTACTCCATTAAATAAGCAAATTGCCCAGGTAAATTACATATATGGATTTTGGTTTAATCAATTTCAACATTTTATATAAAGAAGATATGAATTATAACTTATATTTTTTGCCATATGCCTTAAAGATATCTAATAAAAATTAATAACAGAGTTTAATACAAAGAAGTAGAATAAAAACTTACAATATTTGAGAAGAGGCTTATTTAAATACCTGTTCACTAACATATTTGGCAATTGCTATAAATATGGCAATAGAGCAAATTTATACTGCTTAGAGATCTAATCGGTTTAATTTTTATGAATTATAAGGTTGTTACCTTTCTGCTACTATTTAATATATTATAGTCGAAAATAAATTATATTCTTAAAAATTAATTTAACTGCTCAAATTTAATTAGTTAAAATTATAATAAATAAAAAATATAATCAATTAAATTAAATTTAATGTTATGATAAAATTCACAATCATTTAGAATTCTACTCCATCCTTTAGTTTACTTCTTTTATTTTTGAATTAATTTCTATTAAATAACTCACATTTATTAAAACTTCACCAATTATCCAAATTAATAATAGCCATTGAACTCTATATTTGTAAATGTTGGTTACTCCTAATTAAGTAATAAAATTATTCGTTAAGCTTAAAAATAAGGATTTTTATTTTTCTTTTCTTCCCCTTAATTATAATAAGTTCTTTAATCTCTACTGAAATCTTTTGCTTTCTAAATTATCTTTTGACTTTTATTATCTATCCGATTATTTTCTAAACTAAATTATATTTTAATCATCTATATTTTGTCTACTATAATTTAAGTCCTTGTTTTTCTAATTGCATGAATGTGTTAACATATTATAATATTCATTATGTATCCTATCATTTATTAATCTCCTCCAATTATGAAGGGAGGTGGAATATTACAAGGATTTAGTTTTGATTTCAGGATCAGAGTATATTCACCACTATTAATTATACTCTTTAAAAGCACTTTGGTTTTTATGTCAATTTTAGTTAAGATTATAAGTGATTTCCTACTTATTTAAGCCATTTCAATATCAAGAGAGAAATGAACCCCTATAGTTAATATGATTAGAAAATCTTATAAAAATTTTTCATATTCTTTCATTTAGATTCATTATGCTTGACAACATAATGAAGCTTAGACTTGAAACTGTAAAGATAGATTTTGTCATAATAAATGTTAGAATTAGAAAAAGCCTTCATTCTTTATAAATATTAAAATCAATATTCCAATCAATTAAATTAAATCTGAAATTTTATTCTGCATCTACAAAAATCAACTATTAAAATATTTTGGACTGTAATCACAATAAGCCTAACAAAGAAGATTTTAGCAAAATATTGGATTCAAAATAAGTCATTACAAGAATTATGTAAATCTTTTTTGAAAATTTAATTTACTCCCAAAATAGTGTTATTTAGTATATTCTTCAAATAAATAGCAAATATGTTTCCTTAATTTAATCCTATCAAATTTTTTCTTAGTTATGAACATAAAGAAAAACAAAGCTAATGGTATAACAAATCCAAATATAGCCAACCCTGGAGCAGCAAATTTCTACATCCAATAATTATGATGCAAGGAACCGAAAATTTTATTAAATCTCCCTAAATGTATTGAATATTTGATATTATTCTTGTTGACATAATTGAACAAAATCTTTTATATAATTAATTTATTACTGTTTAATTAACCTAGAGAAATTCGATACATATAAATATAATAATTCATTCGAAATAATTTAGGTTTAGAAATTTGTTTAAGTGGCTAATATATATATTTGATAACCTATCAAAATGATTCAGTATCAATAAAATAGTAGCAATAATTCTTATATAAATGAGTTCAATTTCAGAAACTTCAGATAAAAAGCAATCAAGACTGGATGCCATGAATTAAGTAGTATTGCTAGTTATATCAATAAACTAAAATGATATCGTAAACTTTATATTAAAAGTAAATATGACTTAAAATATCCATAAGTAAATGAACAACATCTTAATGAATATACCTTCCATATCTAAAATATATAAATGTTTAAATGTTTAATAATACTCATTTGAGGTTTTAATCTTTCTTTTCTGACCTCTACTTCCTCTGGTATTCTTCTTGTTGGAACTCTTTAATTTGTCTTATCCCTTCTGTTCTTTCTTGATTTTTTTAGAAGGAGAACCAAATTAGCAACACTCATTAATGGAAGGATTTTAATTTGCACTTTGGAAGAGAGTTGCTCCTACCGGTTCAATCAAAGGCGGAACCTAGGCCATTAGACGACCCACTTCCTCAGATAAAACAGCATTCTACATCGCTGATTTAATGACCTAGAATGATTCTCCAGACCTAAAAAGAAAAACAAAACTATCTTTAACTTCCACTATTTTCAAATTTTAAATATATTGTTATTTTATCA